TCTTATCAGCTGGACACTTCACTCTCCGCTCTAGTCCTCTGTGGCTATGTCACTGACTCTGGGCCCAAGAGTTCCCAGGTCTTGCCACACTGCTGAGAAGCCACTGTTTTGATTGTGGAGTAATTTGCTGGACTACAAAGTCAGTTTGAACTGTAAGATCAGTGGTTCAGGCTCCAGTCGCTTCTCGAAAACCCTTTATGGGGTCCCTGTGGGTCATTAACTGACTCAAAGGCACTTAACAAGACAGTTGGTTACTAGGAGAATTTGTTTGCATTGCACTTACCTGCAACCATTCTCTGGCCACAGAGACGTGTAAACACATTTTGTGTGGACTCAACCAGGGCATGCATGAACTAGAACCTTAGTAGCAGCACTTTTTGACTTCATATCGCATACCAAAAAAGGAATTAATGTTGCTAAGTGCCCTTGAGTCAGTTCTGATATATAGCAACCCTATATAGGGTTTCCAAGAAGCAACTGGTAGATTTGAACCACCAACCTTGTGGTTAGCAGTCTAGGGCTGATCCTACAGCGCCACACCAGGACTCCAAAAAGGGAAACACTAAGTCTAAATTGACTTCGGCTTTACTAGATAATTTGCCAAATTACTCTCCAAAGGGACGTACTGAATTCCAGACCCATCAACAGAGGTTGTGAGTCTCTGCATCACCATATCTTTGTTGTTGTTGTCGTTATGTGCCGTGGAGTTAATTCCGACTCACAGCGACCCTATACAGGGTTTCCGAAGCTGTAAATCTTTACAGGAGCAGAAAGCCTTATCTTTCTCCAGCAGAACAGCTGGTAGTTTCTAACTGCTGACCTTGAGGTTCGCAGCCCTATTTGTATCCACTACGCTACCAGAGCTCCTTACCCACACTTAAGATTTTGTGATTGTGAAGTGCCGTCGAGTCGATTCCGACCCATAGCGACCCTGTACAGGGTTTCCGAGGGTGTAAATCTTTACGGGAGTAGAAAGCCTCATCTTTCTCCTGCGGAGCGGCTGGTAGTTTCGAACTGCTGACCTTAAGGTTCGCAGCCCGATTCGTAAATCTTTTTCTCCCAGGTCTGGTTAGATAGGAAATGCTGTTTCTCTGTTTTCTGTTTTAGTTTGCATTTCCCTGATTTCTAGGGAGATGATCGCCTTTGTCTGTTTAGAGTGAACAGTACGTTTGCTAGTTCTTAGTACACTTTAGTTCATAGAGCGTTTTACTGTTGAGTTGGTATTTTTGTTTTAAGATGAGCTTGTGATATTTTCAGGATACTATTTTTATTTTCCCTTTTCCTTGATACGGACTCATTAGTTTGCCTTAGGTTTATCATCCATGTTTTAAGCTTTTTGGTTTTTTGTTTGGATTTTGGTTAAGTGAAACGGAATGGATAAGGGGTTCTAAAGGTAAATCGGCAAACCTTTGAGAGGGGGAAAAGACTGGTGGGATCTTAAAAGGAATATTTTAAAGCCAGTAGCTGAGCTGGAAGTTGTGAAGGAGAGAAAAAAGGGGCTGGGGAACTGTGAATGGTATGCATGGGAAAGAGGTGGTGGAGCCACTAGGTTGTGGACTAAGACAGCCCGTGATCCCATTCTGGTCCAGCAGGTCAGCAGTTCAAGCCCACCAGCTGCTCTTGGAATCCCTACGCGGGATTGCTATGAGTTGGAACCGACTCGAAGGCACTGAACAACAGTATCCCATTATGCCTCTTTGTAGCAGCAGGAGGAGAGACACCACAAACCCAAAGGAAGGATAGTGTTGAGAAAAGGGCATACTTTATCTTTAAATAAAACATTTAAATAAAAATGTTTCCCTTGACGATTTTTGTGAAGCTTCTTGCTCGTGTTCCAGAGGCATGAAGTTCACTCACACTTCCAGTTGTTCTAGGTGCCGGGGAATCATCGAAAGGCTCGTAGGAAGTGAGAGCAGAAAGCCTTGTATTCCTGTATCAGAATTCCTCTCTCCTTCAAGCTACTAAGAACTATTGATTTCTAGGTCTCAAGATAATGTTTTCAGAATATCTCATTTTGCTGATTAGGGTGAGTCACTCCTCAGGTGTTTTTCTGCCTCCAGGAGAGGACTTAGCTGAAGAACCCGAGTGCTAACGCTCAATTTGAGCTGACCCTCACTGCTGGCCTCGGGACTTCTGCAGAAATCCTTGTGCTCAAAGAGAGTAGAGCCAGTGATCAAGAGCGGCTTCTCTGGAGGAGGAAAGAGTGGCAGCAGGAGAGCATTGAATGCCAAACCTTCGAGGCTTTCTCTTGATTTCCAGAGTGAGCTTTCCCAGTGAAGTCCTCCTGCTCCTGCCATTTGTAATGAACTTGGACGTCCCTTTGCTTTATCATCAGAAAAATGACTGGACATTGAATTTCATGGAGGTGGAGCTGGAATTGCTTAGCTAGGTAGAAGGAAGGGGCGTTGGTATGTGTAAGAGTCCTGGTGTGCTGTAGGGTAAGCACTAGACTGCTAATCCCATAGTGGTTCAAGCCTACCAGCTGCTCCTCAGAAACCCTATATTTGTTGTACCATCAAGTCTATTCCATTTCACAGCAACCCTGTATAGGGTTTTCAAGGAGCAACTGGCGGGTTTGAACCACCATCCTCGAGGTTAGCAGTCCAATGCTTATCCTATAGTGTCATACCAGGACTCCTGGAAACCCTATCCAGGATTGCTGTGAGTCAGAACCGACTTGATGGCACTTAACAACAAGAACAGGTCCAGACAAAGTAAGGCCTCATCACACCCCACACCCAGGGCTTCTAAACTAGTTGCATCTCTGAGGCATCGCGGTGAAGAGTAGCGTTGCTCCTGGTAGCTTCTTTTATGATTGGTAGTTTCCAGCCAGAACTTCCCTGCCTGCACCCTAGAGGGTGGCTTCTTTCTTCATGATACTTCAGGTGACTTCGAAGTTGAAAGTGATTTTGCAGTTTGAACCTTATGAAACAGTCCATAAGGATTACTTTTTAAATAATACTCCCTTCTTTAAAGGATACGTGGTAGTAGTCATGTGCTGTGGAGTCAGTTCCAACTCATAGCGACCCTGTACAGGGTTTCCGAGGCTATAAATCTTTTATGGGAGGGGGGAAGTCTTGTAGAACAAAGACAAAAGAACTCAGAATGTGCCGGTGCAGCTGGGGAAATGGACTTTGCGTTCACTTTATCCGTGAGGACACTCAGGCCCAGAGAGAAGGACCACATTAACAATTAGCAGACCGTAGACCTAAACAGAATCAGATGATAGCCCATGTAGTTAACTGGGCAGATGTGCCTCTTGTCCCCTAGTGTCATCAAGTTGTTCTGTCACATACTGTTAACAAAGCTGTGTCAGGGTACTTGGCTTTTGGGTAAAATAGAGGTAGGGTCTACAGTTGGACATTTGAATAGGTTCCATAGGCAGGCACTATGCGAGAGAGAATTAAGTGAAGATTTGGCACTGTGTAGCACTTGTTCCCTACCTTAGAGGAGCTCTCAGGGGAAGAAAAAATGTAATTTGTTGTTGTTAAGTGCCAGCAAATCCATTCCGTCTCATAGCGACCCTGTATAGGGTTTCTGAGGAGCAGCTGGTAAGGTTGAACCGCCAACCTTGCGGTTCAGACAGACCTTGCTGAATGCGCCTATATCCCTCCAAATCCACGTATTTGGCCTGAAGGAGCACCTTGCTCCTAACTAGTGAGTTGACAGTTGAAAGGACTGTGGGGTGTCGTCATTGGTGTGAAGAATTGCCTAATAAGGAGCGTCTGCCGGGACTCCTGAGTCAGCCTTTCCCAGGAGAGTCCCTCATCCAGTGTTCCCACAGACAGCTCTTTTATTGGTTTCTACTTCTTTAGCCTCCTGGCACTGTTAGGTTTTATGACTTCATAGCAGCAGTAAGATCTGCTGATGGCCCTTCTGAGACAGGCCAAGTGTGGGAGAATGAAAAGAGTTGCAATAAAATCCTTGGCAAATTGCAGTCTCCCTGCTTTTGTTTTTCAAGAAATCTCCCACCTTCTCTTGAATCAGGGTTCCCTGGAGAAGGACAACAAGCTTGGTAAAGTGGAGGGACAGTGAAAAAGAGGGAGAGCCCCAACAAGGTGGATTGGCACAGTGGCCGCAACAATTTTGAGGATGGTGGTGTTTCATTCTGTTGTACATATGGTTACTGTGGGTCAAAAGCCACTCGATGGCACCTAACAACAACAGAGACACTTTGGGCAGTTCGATGGCCTTCCTCTATGACTCTTGGAGAGGGTTGTGAATAAGCTCCAAGCAGTTAAAATCAGAAGTAGAACAGCAATGGGTAGGTTTTCCCATTCACACTCTACCTCGGGCACAATCATATAGACCTTACTAGGGAGCTTACGTATTTGTGTACTGATGGTTTTTAATGACAGACATATTTCATTTTGGTAGCTTCTCCACTTCCTGCCTGAGAAGTTCCAGACTTGAAATTTTTGTTACTCAGAAATCACATCTGTATTGTTTCTCCGCCTCTAAAATGACGTCATAGGCGTACTTCCCAGATGATGGCTGTGACCTGTCCTTTCAGCTAGAGCCACATTCTTCTGTGTGTGTGTGGGGGGGGGGGGGGGGGGGCGCTTCTAGAATCTTATGTGTGTGGGGGAGGGTTGGGGAATGGGTACAGCTTGTAGCATCTGTTTGCTCCATCAAGGTGACCGTGGATTTTGCTTTCTCTTCAGATTGCGGTGCCTTCGTCCACAAAGGGTGTAGAGAAAGTCTGGCATCCTGTGCAAAGGTCAAAATGAAGGTAAGACGTTGCTGGATAAAGGAAAGCTTGAAACACAATGGGCTTAAACCAGTAAGATCCTCATAAGTTCGCAGAGGTGACATATGTGATAGTTCCTGTATGTGAGTTATTTTGAGGCCACATCAATTATCTTTCTCTCTAAAGTGTTAAATTCTCTTCTTGACTAACACACTGAGGTATTTGAGACTTAGAAAATAAAATGCTTCCGGAACTTCTCACATGATAAGCTCGCATTTTTTGTGTGTGGTTTCCTCGTTCTGTGGCACTGTCCAAGTGTCTTCTTTGCTGAATGTGCATACTTACTCTTGTATTTGCATACTTGAAATCCTCATTTGGGTCCAGGGGTCCAGGAGGCCAGCCGAGAGACATCAGGGGCTGGGATATGTGGACGGGCAGAGCTGCTATGGTTAGACCCCCATCTAGCCGAGAGTCGCTTTCTCTGCAGAACCCATGTGAGAATTAAAAGGCCCAGTTGTATGGCGTGACCTGCTCTGAACACGCTGGTTATGTGATAGTGTGCACCACTTACCGTGTGGCCCCTAAAAACAAGTATGGGCGTGGAGATGTACCCTTTAAATACTGTTTGTGGTTTTCAGTGTTCTTCACACAGAGCTGTCTTTCGATTCCTTGTCAGAAAGTAGTCTCGGATGCATCTACACAAATGCTGGTAAAAAACCGCTTCTGGTACCCCACACCCAGAGTTTCTAATCTTGTAGACGTGGGGTTGGGGCCAGGAATTCACATTTCTAATAGTTCCCAGATAATGCTGATCTTGGGTAAAGATGGCAAACTTCTATACCCGAGTTCTTTGCAGCCCAAAGACAAAGACTTTGTTTTTGGTTTATCCAGTTTTCTATTTGAATTAATGTAGTCATTTAAAATTCATTTTTCATATCAATTTGGATTCTAATTTCTCTGTAAAAATTGGAAGATCTCACAACCCTGGGTTCACTGGTCTTCTCCCTGACACTAACTAACCTTCCTTCTTTTCCCATGGTGCTTACTACCTTCTCAGAGTCTGTATTTTAAAAATCTACATTTGTTGAGTATGTTCATTGTTGGGGGTCTATACCTTCCCCTCAGAGTGTAATGCCCACACTGTCATGCATTGTGAAGGCATGGGTCCATTAAGGGACCCTACGCACCTAGAATGGTGTCTGGCTTACGGGTCCTAAACTGTAGAAGGGTGGAAGGCAAGCAGAGATCAGAGCCGAGTAGCTGCTCCCTCTTCCCACAGGATGTGACGTTGCCTGATCACCACTTGGTTCGCCCAGATTGTTTCTGCCATTTGCATTACTTACCTAACCCCGTAGGTCTCTCTGATGATTTATTGCCATTGTGAATATTGTAGGTTCTGTCCAAGGCTGATGATCCAGCCACAACTTCCCCTATGTACGGGCACCCAGTCTATAACTGCGTTAGTCTATAATTTTTCAAAGTATTTTTGTTACATGATACAACAAAACAATTGGCATTTTACCGAGCAATTTGTCATCTTATAAAAGGAAGTCATTAGAGGACTAGAAAGGAAAAAGGTACAGATGGTGCTCTTAAGGAACCCACAGTCTAGTGGGGAAGACAGACAGACAGACACTTACCATAAATGAGAACAGAGCTCTGTGAAGGTGTGCACAGGAATCTCGAGGAGCCAATCTTTGCCTCGGAGAAAGAGCGGAAAGGACAGTTAGTGGGTGGGCTCATCTCAGCATCAGTCCAGGAACAAGAAAGCACATCTGCTGAGTCAGCAAGCTTGAGCCTGTGCAGCTGGGGGTGTCTGTGACTGGATTGTAGGACACTGGGGACTAGAGCAGAGAAGGAAAACAGTAACCCAAAGTACACTGAACTCTCCTCCCATTGTAGTCTTCTGGAAACTCACCAACAGGTCATTGTAAGGGCTAGCCTCATGGTTTGTGTTTTTCTTCTTTTTCCTTCAGCAGCCGAAAGGGAGCCTTCAAGCCCACGACACGTCATCGCTCCCCACAGTCATTATGAGAAACAAATGTAAGTAGCTCAGCCTTCCCCTCACAGTTCCCTCTTAGAGGGTCTGGTTCTGGCCTTGAAAATACTTCATCATGGTGACCCTAACCAAAATCGGAATCCCCATTTTGTAAGTCACTCACAAAAGGCTGCTCTGGCTGCCTGCAGCTTCACTGACCAGTAAACCTTCTTTGGAGATTTCTGCAATGGGGTGTTTGTAGCTTGAAGCTGGTGGCACCCTGGCAGCGTCGTGTCAAGCAATAGATCCGACTCCTGTGTGTGTAGATTTATTTCTTCGTCAGCATATGGAGAATTGCAGCACCTCACAGTTGTGAGAACATCCCGGTTAAGAGCTCTTCACAGATGGTGCTGTCGTTGTTGTGAAATGCCGTCGAGTTGGGTCCAACTCAGAGCGACCCTGTACAGGGTTTCCGAGGAGCAGCTGGTGGGTTTGAACCGCCAACCTTGTGGCCAGCAGTCCAGTGGTGATCCTACAGCACCACACCAGGAGTCTGTGGAGATCCGTAGTTTTTCTGTTTTTTTGTGAGTAAATCACATTCTTCTTTTCCATCAGACCGTCATGAGTCTTCACAGGGCCCCACTTTGGCTTTGCTTTACTTTGCTTTTCCCCCCTTTTTATTCTCCATTCTCTGTCTTAGGCTTTCCCCCTTCGCAGCACCCACTTAGCTTATTTCATATTTATTCCTTGGCTCTGCTGTGTCTTTGTGGTTAAGTCCTGTCCAGTTGGTTCTGACTCAATAGCAACCCTCTGTAGGGTTTCCGTGAAGCAGCCGGTGGGCTTCAACTGCCAACTTTGTGGTTAGCAGTCCAGTTCTTATCCTTGTTGTTGTTATTAAAGGCCGTAACGTTGGTTCTGACTCATCGTGACTCTGTGTAGGATTTCGGAGGCTGTAAATGTTTGCTTCATCTTTCTTCTAATGGTCTTGAACTCCTGATCTTCTTGTGGTTCGCAGTCCAGTACTTATCCTACAGAGCCACCACGCACCCATGCTTATCTTAGACATATGGATACCTTTGAAACATAGCCTCAATTATTTGATGTGTTGAATTTCGGCTAGGTAATGATAGGACTATATATTTTGTTTTTTCATGCTTTTAACCAGTATCATTTTGAGGTCTGCATGTTATTATAAGAGTATGTAAGCCATTACTTTAGACTGCTGAGTGGCATATACATCATGTTGCATATTCCATGTGTTAATTATCAGATTCCCACAAGTGGACATCTATGTTGTTGCCAACTATTACTATAAACACATAATAGAGTAACAAATACCTTCCTGTGTAGGAGTTTCCCTTAAACAGTATTTTTCAAAGCATTGTCCTGGACCAGTTAAAAATGCACGTTCTTGGGTTCAGACCTTGTTGCTGTTGGTATAAAGAGGCCTGGTGGCATAGCGGGTCACACGTCAGGCAGCTAACAGCAAAGTCAGCAGTTCTCATCTCCCAGCCGCTTGTAAGGAGGCAGAGCCTTGGAAACCCTACAGATGGCCACCAGGAGTCAGAACCAACTATACAGCACCCCCTATCACTCTAGGGGGTAGACTCCGATCTCATTTCTGTGAATACTTACAGGGAGCGCTGCAGAATGGCTGGACCAGTCTCTGCTCCCACAGAAGGGTGTGAAGTCCAAGCCAGATGCTGTCAAGTCGATTCTGGCTCATGATGCTGCTGTGTGTGTCAAACTAGAACTGTCTCCATACGATTTTAAGTGGCTGATTTTCCACAAGTAAATCACTCGGTAGACTCAGACCAGCAGCCTGGTGGTTAGCGGCCGACCTCTCACTCAGCCTTTTGCACTGTTCAAGGACTCATTGGATCTGTTGTTATGGCCGGACTTTGCACCAATGATCAGGGAACCCTCACCAGACTGATATCTGCTTCTGCCAGTCATCTTCCTCCAGTTCCACATACTTTCAATAAGTCTAATTTCCCGTGGACTTTCTGTGTCATTATCCCTTGTTTCAGAAACCTATTGGTTTTTTTCAGAGAAAATATCTTCTTTTGTTTTTTTTTAATACCTGTGTATAACGGAGCCCTAGTGGCGCTGTGAGTCAGGCATTAGGCTGCTCATTGCAACGTCGATGGTTTAAAGCCACCGGCCACTCTGTGGGAGAAGAGTGAAAGATACCTGCTCCTCACTGTGATGATTTACAGTCTCAGCAGCCACATAGTGGGTTGCTGTGAGTCCGAAGTGACTCGATGGCAGTGTGGTTGATGTTTTGGCTTATTGTAGTCCAGGTGTTTTATGTGTAGTCACCTCTCATTCCTGCAACAAGGGTCCCATTTTACCCCACTGAGAGAATAAACTGGCTAAGAGTGGAGATTCAGATTATATTGGGTTCAAGTCGTAGCAACACGTCTTAATAGCTGTCAACATTAATGAACCTTCCGGGTGCCTCATTTTCCGTCTCTGTGAAATGACGGTGGTGGTGAGTTTGGATGAGGTCGTACCTGTGACAGTCTGCGGAGTTGCATTTTCTGAGTGCTAGTTTTTGCCGCTATCATCGTCATCATCATACGTTAGGGAAGTTGAGGCTCAACAATATTAAGGAATTTATCCAAGGGGAATATGGATTGGTTTAGCAAAGAACTTATTCCACGCCCGCTGCCGTATTCCAGGTACAAGTGTCCTTCCTAACTTGGAGTACTCAGTATACCATGGCTTCATTTGGCTCCTCCTACCTTTTCACTGGAGTCCTGGTGTGGCACTGTGGGTTTAATGCGCCAGACTGCAAAGTCATTTGAACCAGAAGGTCAGCGGTTCAAGCTCATCAGTCACTCTTTGGAAACCCTACACAGGGTCGCTATGGGTCAAAACAGACTCAACGGCACTTTACAACAACAACAGTCTTTTCACTGGTCCCTTACGTAGTCCTCTGCTTATGTTGTCTTCTTTTTACTGAATACGCCGTGACAGTTTCTTTCTTCATTCACACAATTCTCATCAGAATGTCCTCTTTTTTACCTTCCCACTGATCCAACCCCTCACCAGTCTTCTAGAACTAGGGTTTCCACTTCCCTCAGCTCTTGTGTGCTCAGCGGCCTCTCCTGAAACACCTTTGACACGCTCCAGGCGCCTTACCATCGTAAGGAGTTGCCCTTGCTCTGCTGGCCAGGAACCCCATGCATACATCCACTTGTTTCCTGCAGCACTGTAGTGGAGGACACTTATGCATTTTTTGTTTTGACATTTTCTAAATAGGATTTGAATTGATCATTTATGATTCCGTTCATTTTTATTAGGTCAGATCATCCTGAAATAATTTAAGTCACAATAGGACACTCCAGTATTTTGGTTGCCTGTGACTCAGTGATCACATGAGGGCGGGGTAGAGCTGTTTCTGAGTGTCTCCAAGACTGTGGATCTTCACAGAAGCAAGCTGCCGCCTTTGTTTCCCGAGGAGTTCTGTTACCAAGGAAAAATAACGGGTTTCTCAAATGCCAGCGTGACCACTCCAGCAAACTGGACCCCCGGTTTCTCCCGTGGTCACATTAAGGGGAAATATGCAGCAGGTGGCTTAATTAGTTATGTGGCATTAAGTGTTGCATTTCCCCATCTGCAAGTTAAAGAACTTGGTCAGAGTCTGTCTTCTCAGACAGTTTGTAGTTTGTATAATAAGTAGACTTGCAGGTCCCAGTCCCAAAGGACTAGGAGGGCTGGGGAGCTCCGTCTCTCACAGGTTCTTTAGGGATCCTGTTCTAGGTGACCCCAAAGAACTCAGTCCTCACTCACCTCAAGTCTTCACATCTCAGCATCTCAGTTTACTTTCGTTTGATTTTTTAATTGTTGTAAATTTACATGTAACAAAAGATTTGCCATTTAATATTTTAAATATATTATTGTTGTCAAGTGCCGTCAAGTCGGTACCTACTCATCGCCACCCTATAGGGTTTCTGGGGAGCATGTGGTAGGTTTGAACCACTGGCCTTGGGACTAGCAGTTCAGTGCTCATCAGACTTGTAACATATATAATACACACACACAATACTCTTACATAATTCTCTGTCTCCATTGCCTGCTTTTCATCCCACCCCCTCCCTTAGTTTCTTACGTATTTTGCCAGTTTCCTTATGCAACTAAAGCACATACTCACTTGTATTTCGTTTTTGTTTTTTTAATACTTATCTGTGATTTTACAAATCTTGTGCTTTGACAATTTTTCATTAAATAACCTTGAACATATATCAGTTTGCACACATGCAAGTTTATCTTGCCGCATAAACGTATCATCAAAACAGAATATATTAGGGAGTCCAGGGCAAGATGGGGGAGTTGGGCAGATGCACTGATCCCGAGGGAACACCAAGGAAAACAGGTGTAGCTGGTGATCCTGGGACCCTGAGCATCAGAGGATAGGGCAGAGACGTGGGTGGAGTTCTGATTGGAAAGAAAACTGAACAGAAATGATGAGAGAGAAGAACAGAGAGACTGTGGGCTGAAGTGGAGCCACGCAGCTATTTTGAACTGTTACAAACAACTGTTGACACACAGTGGTCTGCGGGCACAGGACTTGGCTGGAGGCTGGCGAACAGGGGCTGTAGTTCTCCCAGGTTCCCGTGCCCTTCTGGTAAGTGAAGGCCTGGCCAGTCCCCGCCTTCACCAACCCAGCAGGCAGTGCCCCCCACCTCCTGTGTAGCCGTTGCTCTGCCTGCTTGGGGCAGCACGTGAACCCACCCTGAACTCCACGACACTGACAGTGAACAGGGAACAAACTGCGTTCACATTCTGGTCGCTCCCACATCCACCAGGAGACAGGTGGGGTGAGAGCCTGAGAGCACCCCGATAGATAGCATCAACTAACTATAAATGCACCACCTCAATGTCTCAGAGAAAACAAGGGACCAAAACACAGACTCAGAAAACAGAACACCAGAAATGGTATTGGGAATTCCTGATACAGGAATATTAAAGAATGCTCATTGGGCAACTTCAACAGATGAAGAGAAAGATCAAGAAAATTACAGATAAAATCAAGGAAACCATAGACAACGCTATGGAAAAATCAGGAAACAAACTGAAAACAATGGCAACCCTAGGAAATCATCAATTTGAAAGCAAGAAGGTTACCGCTCAGACTTCAGAAAGAGATAAGACAATGAAAGGGCAAAGAAACAGAATTGAATCAGTGGAAAGCTGAATTACTGAGCTTTAAGAAAAGTCTTTTCAATAGTCATCTGCTGGAGAAACGATCAGAAAATAGAGCAAAAACAATCTGAAGAAAGCCTACAATTTATATAGGACACTATCAAGAGGAATAACTTACGTGTGATAGGAATTCCAGTCAGAAAGAGACCAAAAAAAAAAAAATCAAGAATATGGTCCAAGAGTTGTTGGAGGAAAACTTCTTTAACATCATGAAAGACTACAGGAACTCCTCGGGACACAGGGTAGACCAGGGTGGGCAACTTGGACATTGACTACCCAAAATGAAGGTGGTGGGGGAGGGAGGCTACAAAGGTAAGAAGCAAGTAGCTTATAAGCTTAAGAGGGAGCCTAGATCCAGAGGGCATGGAGGAAGGTAGAATCTCCACTGAGTAGTATCCCATCTGTCTGGGTGGATCTGATGAAAGGAGATGAGGATAAGACTCATGTAGCACAATAGTGAGTAACTGTTATCAGGACTGACTGTGTGGGTTGGAAATACAAAGGTAGACGTATTATAGCAAAAGGAAGTGAGCGGTTGACTTTGCAATCCAGGATCGGAGTTCATTGGGACCATCAAGGGAGAAGAGCGGAGTGCAGGACCCTACCCAGAGAAACAGTGACACCAGAGATGGAGGCAGAGACGATGACGTGGAGAGATGGAGTGGCTGGGTCTCTAGACCCAGAGAGGGAGAGGAGAGTGTGTGTGCTGACGACTGAGGGGCAGGCTTGCAGGGTGTACCCTTTGGTTGGTTTATGATGCATGGATGGGATTGTAACCATGGCAGTGAAACGATACACGATAGGATGAGTGTAAAGCGAATGTTCTCCCATGTAAACTGTCACATAATTCACAATAAAACATTAAAAAAAAAAGACTACAGGAAGAAGTTGAACAAACTCCAAACAGGATAGATCCAAAGTGAAAACCACCAATATTATAATCAAACGGTTTAAAACCAAAACTAAGGTAAATATCTCGAGGGCAGTTGAGGATAAACAGCTACCTACAAAGGAAAACTAGTCAGACTAAGGTCTGAATCTCAGCAGGCAAGAAGATAATGGAATGAAGTATATAAAACTCGGAAAGAGAAAAAAAATAATAAAATAAAGATTTTTTTAAAATTAAAAAAAATAAATAAATAAAACTCGGAAAGAAAAAAATTGCTAATTAAGATTCTTACAGCCAACAAAACTATCCATCAAATTTAACAGTGAAATTAGGTCATTTTCAAACAGATAGAAATTAAAACAATTTGTAAAAACCAGATCAACCTTACAAAAAATATGAAGTGTAGGTTTTTGGGCAGAGAACCAAGCAGGGAAAAGTCTGAGACCAACATGCATGATAACAGCACCTATACTCAACCCAGGTTTAGAAGAATGTGACGTAAAACAGCCCTGTAAGACTGAAAAGAGAGCACGAGAGATTGCAGTTATAACAACAACAACAGCAAACAGAACTTCAGATTTCAAGTAAATAAATAACTTGTTGTTGTTGTAACGTGCCGTCGAGTCGGTTCCGACCCATAGCGACCCTGTACAGGGTTTCCGAGGGTGTAAATCCTTACGGGAGTAGAAAGCCTCATCTTTCTCCCGCGGAGCAGCTGGTAGTTTCGAACCGCTGACCTTTAGGTTCGCAGTCCGATTCGTAACCACTACGCTACCAGAGCTCCCTAAAAACTAGGCCACACCTCAAGTAAATAAATAACTACAACCCTAAAAACTAGGCCACACCTTACCCCTGACACGAACCCTAACAATAAACTTAGCCCTAGGCCTCGCCAAGACCTAGCCTTAGTCCCATCCCTAACCCTCACTCCTTATTCCTAGACATCCCCCCTTCCCCCCAAAAAATAAAAATAGAATATATCGAAGGATGTATTCATTTGTAATAAGTTCAATAGATACTGCCAAAATTTCTGTAAGTTCTTTTTTTTTGGCAGGGGGGACAATTTTTACTGTGACTTAAGTGAAGGTGTATAGAATAGACCATCAGTTTTACATTCAGCAAATCCTACACTTTGTTTCATCTCAGTGACTGTAATCCCCTCCAGGCAATAGCAGTTGTCCCATTTTGTCCCTGGGCTTCCTGGCTCCATTGTACCCTCTTCTCAAGCCTTCTGAACATTGTCTTTAGGCAGTCATTGCCCTTTGGATCTTGAATGGTTGACCAGTCCATGGTGAGCAGACCTTACTATGGTAGTTGCCCCCTGTATCTACCTATCTACCGCTTGGTTGAAAATTGAACCATGAGAAGAGTTCTTTTCCAGACCTGAAGTCTCTGGTTTCTCCCGTCTCTTTCTCACCAGTAAGCCAGTGTTTTTTTATCATTTGGAGTTTGGTTCCACATCGTCTCCCACTCTACCGGGGACCTTCTAATGGGATCCCTTTCAGAGCAGTTGGTAGTGATAGCTAGGCACCGTCTAGTTCTTCTGGTCTCGGTCGTGGAGACGGATGCTCACATGTTCTGTGGGACTGATTGATTCCAGGCATCTTCGTTTTCAGAACTCTTTATTCCACACACTCCATAGAGTTTTGATACCAATTTACTTTCCAGGGAAAAATCGATTTTAAAGTGTTTTGCTGTGGTCGGTCATTTGTTAAGTGGATCAGGACCGAGCGGTACGTCATTCTGACTGTCTTCCTTTGCAGCTTCACAGCCCAAGGAACGCCCTCGGTCAGCGGTCCTCCTGGCTGACGAAACCACTGCTGCTCCAATGTTTACCAACAGGCGGTCACAGCAGAGCGTCGCGCTTTCCAAAAGTGTCTCCATACAGAATATCGCTGGGTAAGTGGGAACTTAAACTAGCACAGTTGACAAGGACGTAACAGAGGCAGCATGGTCAGGGCATTTGACGACAAGACCCTGCTTTGAGAAATAAAGGAGCAGAACACTGGATCGGTTCATGATAGGGCACTCTTCAACACCGCTATTCAGCCCAGCTCTCCGAAGCTGTTACAGATGATTAGTCCCATTTTGGCAGAGCCCGAGTTCCACAAAGATGAGTTTTCGATCACAATCAGAAGTGGGAGTGGGGGAAAGGATGCTGTAATTCCAGAGCTGATGTTTCCAGTTGTAACAGTTTCAGACGTCAGCGTTTTTATTATTCAGGGGAACCTGGTGTTTTGTGTCTTATCTTGCAGTCGGTTTTCCTTCCTTGCCTTCTGCCTCTTAAGTCAGTGCCATGGGTGGATGAGGGAGTAGTAACATGACTGCCAAGCTCCCACTCCCTGATTTACCCTTAGTCTGTTGTGTGAGCCTCCAAAACCCACCAGCTGCTCCTGAAAGACCCCATACAGAGTCCGCTAAGAGCCAAAATCGACTCAACAGCGTGATACAACAACAGTCAAGGAGCCCTGGTGGCCCAGGTCTGCAGTGGGACAGAGCCCACCAGCTGTTCCCGGGAGCAAGATGGGGCAGGCTGCTTCCATAGAGACGGCGGACTTAGAAGTCATGTGGATCCCGGAGTCAGAATTGGCTCCATAGCGGTGGTACGGCCCTATAGTGGGCTTCCGTGATGAGTCAGGCCTGGGGGCTGTCAGTTGCTCAGCAGAAGGCTAATTAGGGTTCTGCTGGCTGTTTGGGGTAAAATCTCTGCTTTCTCATCAAGTAAATAAGTCATTTCAAATGGAGTACTCAAAAACAACTTAGCGAATCTCTGTTAAGATTGGAGAAAATTCTTAACTAATGACTCCAAAATCTCATTGTGTGTCTAATTTCCTACCCCCCCTCCTCCCTAAAAAGAAGAAAACTTTCAAATGTTTGTATTTAATATTGTCTGTATTTTCATTCTCCATAATGACCTTCTTTTCAAAGTTGTAATGCCATCAGAGTTTGCATTTTGCCTGTAAAAAACTGGCCTTCAGATAAACTGTAAAGTTTTAAAGGACTCTCATAACGACAAACATTTATGGAGTGCTGGTGAGTTAGGGTTGAGAATGGTCAAGACAATGTGGCTTGTTTTTATGAGTGGTTGTTTGGGGAGCAGGGAAAGAAAGTCTGGAGTGGTCAGGCACTGAACCTCAAACAGAGAGATTTCTATCCAATGTGTGTGTAGTCCAAGGGAAATGAGTCCTTGCCACCTACCATATAAAAAAATGCACGCCTGATACAGTATGTTTAGTCTTCAGTCATGGGCATTATTCCAGCCAGCTTGTCAGGTTCCCAAACCACAGCTCATCCGAAGGAACTGACAGCACATGCTTCTTTTTGCCTCCAGAGTTGGCAGTGAGGAGAGCATGTCAAGCACCTGGAAATTCCTGTCACATTCCACGGACTCACTAAATAAAATCAGCAAGGTCAACGAGTCAACAGAATCCCTGACTGATGAGGGTAAGAGAAGGAGCTGGCCAATACCTTCAGCATCTCTAGACCATCGCTGTGCCTCTAACTACACCACGAGTGTTAGTGGGGTGGTAGTGCCTGCCTAGAGAATCTTACAAAGACTCTTAAGTTGTCTGTAAAGCATCAAATGGTTTCTAAGAAATTACCAGTTAAATGTACCCAGTTGTTGGTAGCTGCCCATGAAAGGATGTCATTGAGTTTAATGTGCGTACACTCTGGTGTAGATGCTTTTCTTCCTATAGATTTTTGTATACCTTGAGGTTTTGTAGACAGTTTAGTTCCTAACACTATTGCAAGCCCACACTCCTGAACATGTACTACCACCAGGTCCTTGCAAGTCCTACTTCATATACAAAGCACTTCCTAACCAACTCATACCCAGAGTCTGAATATAGTCTGTCACCCTCAGACAGGAGATGATGTCTTTACGGGTTCAGGATAAGTGTTCCACGAATATCCCCTGTATTAATCCAGTATTATCTGAGAACAGTCCAGCATAGGCTTTTTAGGGTCCCTAGACCCAAGACTCTGACTTTGCTCTTTGGCATTTTGAGGAGTAGGTACAGACATGAATGAAGGCCAACTGTTGGGAGACTTTGAGACCGACTCCAAACAGCTAGAAGCAGAGTCCTGGAGTCGAATCGTGGATAGCAAGTTCCTGAAACAACAAAAGAAAGATGTCATCAAGCGGCAGGAGGTGATTTATGGTGAGCCTCCTCCTTCTTTTGCTTGATGTTGGATTTGCATTTTCTAGCATTTTTAGCTTGTGCTTTGTTAGACTAGGGGAAGTCAGTTTTCAAGTAGCATCTTAAAGATTCTCTTTAAAAAAACCTTGGTATGTAGGGACGTGGTCTTATTTGTGTCCACTTCTACCTTTCACCCCACTCTGTTTTCTTTAATGTCATTGAATTTTTTATTTACATGCTAGAGTATGTTCACGCTAGGGTCATGGAAAGTGGTCTCTTTGTGACAGCGCTGTTTAGGTCCTCAGCTAACTAGAAACGAAACGTAAGTCGTTTTCTAGCCCTGCAGTAAAATGTGAGACAGTGGACCCACTGAAGGCCACTTGGAGATGAATGGCAACTAGTGTGCAAATGCTCAGAGAATAGAGTTAGTTCAAGTCAGAAATGGAGGCGTCAGCTGTGAACACTCACAGGGAAAAGACAGCTGTCGACCCATTTTTAAAGATTAAATTGGGTTCTAAATAGCCTTGCGACGGCAGCAGAGGGTCTTGAAGGAGACTCCTTGTCAAAGAGCGTCCAGACCCTAAGCGTTGTTCTCCCCATTCAGAGCTGATGCAGACAGAGCTACACCACGTGCGCACGCTCAAGGTCATGAGCGACGTGTACCGCCGGGGCATGCTGACGGATTTGCTGTTCGAGCAGCAGATGGTGGAAAAGCTGTTCCCCTGTTTGGATGAGCTCATCAGTATCCATAGCCAGTTCTTCCAGAGGATTCTGGAACGGAAGAAGGAGTCTCTGGTGGATAGAAGCGAAAAGAACTTTCTCATCAGGAGAATGGGCGATGTGCTTGTGAATCAGGTGAGCACTGGACGGGCGCTCAGGGTCTCCTCAGGTGCAGTGGGAGGAAGAGGGAGGTTTGGGGTTTGGAGCCAGGCATGCCCACCCTGGCTCTATCACGTAGTGTCTATACAAGCTTTGTGGAGCTTGGCCTCGATGTCCTTTTCCGTAAAATGAAAAAGGAAGTGTTCTTACCTTTGTTGTTTTTGAAAGTTCCCAGGAGTCTTCATGTAGGGTACCTAGCATCTATGGTGGTGGTAGTGGTGAAGTGCCATTGCATCAATTCCGACTCATAGTGACCCTGGACAGATAGGACTTCCGTGGAGCATGTGTGGTAGATGCCCAATAAATGTTAGTTTTTCTTTCTGAGTCTATACCGTCATCAGAAGAAGGTAAGAAAATTGAAAACTTAGAAAGTGTTGGAAGTCTCAAATTCTCCCTCGGCCTCAAATCAGAAAGATCTCACTTGTCTAGAGCCAATGAGTATAGGAAGCTGAATAGAGACTATCTGTGAAATCGTTCATAAAATATGAAGGCACTCCTAAAACTCATGGAAAATGGAAACTTTCTGCAAATTTTTGAAGGCACCTCCTCTATATCATTACTGATGTTTTCATCAAGGTGTGGTGTCATTTTAATCCTACCCCAAAAATGCTTTGGATGCAGTAATTTTAGGACTTCCAGGTGTATTTATGTTGTCGTTAGGTGCTGTCAGGTCAGTTCTGACTCATAGCAACCGTGTGCACAACAGAACTTTAAAACATTCTTCTCTAAGAAGGCCATTACCAGTGTAGACTTAACAGGTCCAAGGCATAGCGTGCACTCGAGGTCCTGTGCTCCCGCAGATCCCTGCTGCATTACTGGACCTTTTGTCCTTTGCTTGTACTCTTGGAGCCCTTACCTCTCACCTCACTGATGGATTCATTCACTCGTTCATCAAGTATTCACTGAGCAAAAGTGCGACAGAACTGCAGAGGGACCTCTGGCACCGACCTCTGCCTCAGGGAGCTCACAATTCCAGGAAGAAACGTAGGCGTATTGCCAAACACATGCTTTTAACACAGGCATCTGCAAAGAGGACAGTCAAGGCCCCAAAGTGGGTCTGATTAGCCCAAGTCTCTCTCTCTGTCCCTCTCCTCCCCTCAGACCTTCTCTGACTTTGACTTGTACCATCCATCATAGCTTCTTCTCTGTGTACATTCTCTTATAAAAGATCTTTGATAATTAGTCTCAGCCCCGTTTGTTCTATACAGTGCCAAGGTCAGCTCTCCAAGGCTTTATGATGTCACCAGTCTCTTAGACTCCCCATGCCTTAGCTTCTTCTCCGTTGGCCAATGGGGAAAGGAAGAGCTACCCTGAATCTGTTTTTTGGTGAGGTCAACTGAGTTTCTTCTAGAGACTTTCAGTATAATAGAAGTCAGCACTTTCGTATCATACAGATCACAGACAGAAACTTGTTGGTTTACCCCAATGTGACCATTTCAAGTCATTGAGATTGCACACATTTCTAGATGATTTAAGGGCCATGCAGAATGAGTGTTAGGACTGCTGGCCTGAGGTAAGTAAAATATACAGGTCCCGTGGTAACGAAGGCAGTTCTGATAGATGTTTCTAACTCGGCAAGGTCAGAGTTTTAAAATTGAATGTCTCGTGAAAAACTGATAGTGAGTCTACTTGTTTTATTACTGCCTTGACCTCAAATGAAAGAACACATTTTGCCGTTCTCATGTGTAATACATAGATATTTCTGTGACTTTATACACATACATACACGTGTGTTTCGTAATTGTGGTCATGGCTATGCAACTCCGTGAATATAATGAGATAAATCGGTGAATTGGGCCCTTTAAATGAGTGAACTCTATAACATGTGAATTAAAAGGGTTTATATCCTGGTGTGGCGCCCTAAAATAGACACTGGACCTCAAAGTCGATTTGAGCCACAAGGTCAGTGCTTCAAACTTAACAGCCACTCCTCCAAAACCCTATACAGGGTCGCTATGAGTCAGAACCGATTCTACAGTACTTAACAACAATAACAAATATATATTATTTGAACCTTATGGTTCAGACCGACCTTGCAGTCCATGCTTCAGCCCACAGCACCACTCCAGGACTCTGGAGTGTCATCTTTGTCCCACAGAGTGGGTGGCAGATTCAGACTGCTGACCTTGCAGGTAGCAGCCCAGCTCATACCCACTATGCTACCAGAGCCTCCTGTATTGTAAGACACTTTAATCACCCCAACAAAGAAACTGCATTCCTTAGCCCCAGTTTCTCCTTCTCCCTAGCCTCCCACCTGCAGTCCTAAGCAACTGTTACTTTTACTTTTCATCTGTTGTTAAGTGCTGTCAAGTCGATTCTGACCCTTAGAGACCCTGTATATGTATAGGGTTTCCAAGGAGCAGCTGGTGAGCTTGAACCACCGACTTTACAGTCTGATGCATTAGCCCACAGCGCCACCCCAGGACTCTGCAGACCTGCCTATTCTGGACATTCCATATACGTGGGACCCTATCATATGTGGCTTTTAGTCACTGACTTTTTTTCTCTTAGCGTATTTTCAAGATCCATCCATGTTGTAGTATTTATCCATGCTTTATTCTCTTTTATTTCTAAATAATATTCCCTTGTGTCAATATAGCACTTTTTTTTTTTTTTTTAATGTCTATACTTCAGTTGATAGCCTTTTGAGTTGTTTCCGTGTTGGGCCTGTTATAAACAATGTCGCTATGAACATTTATGTACAAGTTTTTGCGTGGACCTTTGTTTTCGTTTCTCTTGGAGTGGAATTGCCGAGTCGTACGGCAAGTCTGTGTTCAAGCCTCTGAGGAACTAGCCTCCTGTCCACAGTGGCTGTACTAGTCTTCTTGCCTCGAACAGAACGTAAGGCTGTGTGGAAGCACCCTGGCTTTGGTAAACAGGCTGGAGGAGGCCTCTTAGGGAGAAGCGAGAGACGTAGCAACCTGAGTCTTGGCGTGACGTCGCTTCTCCTTTTTTTCCTGCAGTTTTCAGGTGAGAATGCGGAACGCTTAAAGAAGACATATGGCAAGTTTTGTGGGCAGCACAACCAGTCAGTGAACTACTTCAAGGATCTGTGTACCAAGGATAAGCGCTTCCAAGCCTTTGTAAAGGTATTCGTGTGAGATGTGAAAATCCCCATCGTGTGTCCGGGACAATGTGTCTGTCACAGTAGCCTTCAGCTAGAGCCTTCTTCCTCAGGCAGTTCCTGACCACTCTGTTTCACCCCCTTGTAGAAGAAGATGAGCAGCTCCGTAGTCAGAAGACTTGGAATCCCAGAGTGCATATTGCTTGTAACCCAGCGCATCACTAAGTACCCAGTTTTATTCCAAAGAATATTGCAATATACCAAAGGTGAGTGTCCTCCTTGCTTAGCCTGGTGTGCTAGTGAGCTCTGTGTCCTGCCGGAGAGCTCAGCAGAGGGCTAGCGGCACGCACTCAGAGGTCTAAAAAGAATCCTGTGTTTCATCCCAAAATCAGTTGAAAAGGTGAAGTGTTAATGTTACCAGGTGGAACAACAAAATGGGAAGAGACCACTTGGCGATTCCATCAGGAGTTCATTGGCTAGACCGTTTTTTTCCCCCTTACCACTAGAATGAGAGATCATTCCCATCAATTCTTCCCGTGACCATAAAAAAGCTCTTGGCCCGCCCTCCAGTCTCTCCATCCCTGAAATTGCCTGGTGCCTTCTCTGGTAGACCACAGCATGCAATCACATGTTGTCTGTACCATTGAAGACATTTGACTTTCTTTAGAGTTGAAGGTACACAGAAAGGGATAGGTACGTTGGCGCCACTCCACCACTGTAACTGCTGAGGCCATGAGAAGGCAGGGTTTCCTCTGAGAAAGAACCCGTCAAAAACAAATGTCTTGTTTCCTTCGCAGACAATGAAGCGGAGCAGGAAGATGTGGCTCAGTCCCTGAGCCTGGTGAAGGATGTGATTGGAGCAGTAGACAGCAAAGTGGCAAGTTACGAGAAGAAAGTGCGTCTCAATGAGATTTACATGAAGACAGACAGCAAGTCGATCATGAGGATGAAGAGTGGTCAGATGTTCGCCAAGGAAGATTTGAAACGGAAGAAGCTTGTGCGGGATGGGAGCGTGTTGCTAAAGAACGTAGCGGGAAGGTTGAAAGGTACGGGTCAGTGTCTGAGTCCAGTGTGTGCTTGGGGGGCGGACAGAACTGAATGTTCTTCTTAGAAATTCACCTCCTGGGTGTCCCTAAAGCACCCATATCCAAAGATTAAATAGGAGCAAGACTCGTTTGATTATGCCTAATCTCATACCCAGAAGGACTGGTTTAAAGTAGCTTACAAAATCATATCAAAGGCAGGAAGAAATTAAGAAAGCCATGAAATCGAGGGAAAGAGGAAATGAATTAAAAAAAAAAAAAAAAAGTGGTGAAATTAATATGAAAACAACAAGATTTGCAGCCTGCTCGTTCCCCTGAGTGATGGGCACCACATTTGGGGTTGGGGTGTCTGATGGGACAATTGTAAGAATCACAGCCAGTTCCACAATTCAGAGTCTTTGAGACAAAAAATGGGAACCCCTGGGTGATCAGCATGCCCCACTGCTAACAAAAGGGGTGAAGGTTTGAGTCCACCCAGAGGTCCCACCGGAGAAACATCTGGCGATCTCCTTCTGAAACATCAGCCATTGAAACCCTGTGCATCACAGTCGTGCTGTGACCCACAGAGAGCTGCCACCAACCGCTCCATAACAACTGCTTTTATGAGATTCGAAATTGACTTGTTCAGAAGAGACTTAGAGTACTGTCTACTATGGCTTCACGTGACAGTCAAGTCCTCAGCCTTCATCACTTCAACTAGATTAACCCTTAAATGGAGTGATACTGCTGTTTGATTTCACTCTAATGCCAAAAAAAAAAAAAAAAAGATTGGAAAAGAGATTCATTTTCAGCTGGACAGTGAATAAGGAGGATCGTAGAAGAATTGATGCCTTTGAGTTGTGGTGTTGGAGGAGAATACTGAAAGTGCCATGGACTGCCAAAAGAACCAATGAATCTGTTTTGGAAGAAGTGCAGCCAGAGTGCTCCTTGGAGGCCAGGATGGCTAAGCTTCGTCTCACCTACTTTGGACATATTGTCCGGAGGAAACAATCGCTGGAGAAGGATGTCATGCTGGGTAGGGTGGAGGGTCAGAGAAAAAGAGGAAGACCCCCAACGAGATGGATCAGCCAGGTGGCATCATTGATGGACTCAAGTGTGGCAGCGGTAGTGAGGTTGGCCCAGGATCGAACATTGTTTCATTCTGCTGTGCATGGGGTCGCTATGAGTCGGTTCCGACTCGATGGCACCTGACAACAACTACAACAACAATTTTTACATCAAGTTAAAGAAGTTACGAGATTTGCCTTTTAATTCATTTGAACTTGTGGTTCTTGAAAATGATTGTTGTCATCAAACCTATACCGTGGGCCTGGGTCTGTCTGGGAGGTCTGGCTTCCCAATAGCCTTGAGGATACCCGCCCCCACCCCCCTGTTCCCTGCCTGGGGGAAGTGAGTTCACTGACGTCGGCTCCGTGGCATTGAATGTGTGCCTCTTCAGCTCTGAGCTGTAAGGACGGACGTAGGGACCTGCTGTCGGAATACTCACGAGGACTGACTAGTGGTCATGAAGGCCCAGGCTGACCAGTGAAGCAGGGCACGTCTTACAAGTTGGGATCTGAATAGAGATGTGTAGCGGTCCCTGTAATTCCGATGACAACAACAGTGAGAACCTAGTTGTGTTTGGAGTGACGAGTGTAGACTACACGTGTGCACTGGGCATCGGGTAGCCGGCTGCCTGGGGATTTTCAGGATTAAAGTGGCCTTTGAGTTGTTTTAAAAGATGAAGTGGAGGGTGTCAGACAGAAAGGGAGAGAGCATTCCAGGGGGCCGGGAGACTAAGCTAGCAGAAGCTCAGGTTTGAAAGTCTGGCACTTGCAGGGAGACAGTGGCTGTCTCAGGTGGCAGAGCCAGTGACAGGGAATGATGGGGAATACACCGGTAGAAACGGGGTGTCCACTCTGCACTAGCTGATACCTCCAGTATTGTTTTTTTTCAGTTGCTCTCAAGCCAGTTCAGACTCAGGGTGGCCCCGGGAGGTTTACAAGGCTGTGTCTGCTTAGAAGCAGGTCATCAGGTTGTCCCCTGAATGGTCTCAGGATGGGACAGGACACAGAATGGGCCTAATGAAGGGTTTTCTTCAGGAAAGGAACCAATGAGATGGTTTTTAGTACAAGGACAGGCACCATTTTAAAGTGCAGAGAATCTGATGACAGAGACACATGACTGAGTTCACATGCGTTTCAGTACCCACCTCCCAGCTTCCATGAGTCACGGCAGCCCCGTGTGGGTTAGAGGGGAACTGCCGTCAGGGTGTCCGTGGCTGATTTTTCACAAGTCCATCTCTAGGCCTTTCTTCACAGGTTCTTCTGGGTAGACCCAAACCTCGGGCCTTTGGTTAGTAGCCAGACTCATTCACTGTGTCACCCAGGGGGTTCTGAGATGCTGAAGTGGGCATGGAAAGGAAGCTCAAGATCATTTCTGAGAAAAGTAAAGTCCCTTCCTGCCACCCACCAGCTGTGTGCCTTACTGCTCTCAGAAGCCCCTTCCCCAGCTCTGTTCTGGGATGTTCTGAGAGCCATCGTTCAGGGCTCTGCCGCGCTGCCACTGGGAGTTGCTTGGAGGCTGGCTGGCAGTTTCCGGACTACCTGCTGTATCTTGTAAGGACTGGGATTTCTTAGGGCTGCTGCTGTCTATAGCCAGCATTTGATTCATCCCCCAAAGAAAACTAAAGATGCCAGCTGCTGGAGTGAAACTGTGGTCAAGCCAGAGGCAGAAGGGTAGTTTTTCTGCCCTGAAATGCCTCCAGAGGAGACAGCAGTATGTTTTAGTGATTTTGACCCCAAGTGAACTCATACGGGGAACAGCCAGTACTGTCTGGGTACCCTTTGAAAAGGGGTGGGATTGGTTTTTTCTCTGATCCACTGATACTGGTCATATAAACTTCAGGATCTAATGAAATTGAAACTTGGGTCTTAGAACACTTTTCTGGCAGGCACCTGAATTATTTAAAAATAAACATGGGAAAAAGAAAACAACTTAATGGTACTACATGGAAAATTTCTGTAACCACGGCTGAAAAGCTAGGCCTCCGTAGGAGCCAGACATCCCTCATGGCTCTGCGATGACTCACACAGCCAGGGCTTTCCAGGAAGGTTAGAGGTTGCAGAGGAGACCACCTCGAAGCAGATCCCATTCTTCACACAAGGAAGCTTAGGCTCCACTTTCCCAGGGATTGCAAACCAGGGAAGATGGGCGGAACGTGGCACTTCGCACTTCCAGAGAATTCAGGTGGAGGCTGTGGAGTTCGTTTTGATTTGTGGTACAACCAGAGAGGTGAACTTGATTTTGAGGAAAACTGAAGGCTGACTCCCTCCCAGGGAGGTTGAGGTTGACTCCCGTGTGTTGCAGCAAGAAAGAACCATTGTGCTCATGTGTCCTGGGCAGGCTTTGTGTGAGCCGCTGTGAGGAATGTGGACGCAGTCTACCTTTTATTAGGCAGGGAGATGTTCATGCATCACCTTTTGGCAGCTTTCCTTTCTCCTGTCCCACGCCTTTCCCAACGCTATAGTCATACCTTGAGAAACACGACAGCTGAGCTGAGTATTGGTTTTTTAACATTTGCTGAGGTCCAACTTTCAGACTCTATCCTTGGTGTATTGCCCTATAGGTTATACTTCCTAAAACTGAGCACGGAAACTTTTCCCAAACTGAGGTTTGGTGATAAATCCCATTTAAAAATGTCTCTTCAAGTGGAATGCCCAGATCCAGACTCTGTGGAACTCTGGAACCGTGGGAGGAGCATCATCTCACATCAGGGACTTGCCCTGCCGGCAGTGTTTTGCTGACTATACCTCACTGTTAGCTTTTTAAAGTAATTTTTCTCTTTCCCCATCCCCTGTTTCCACTTTCCAGAGGTTCAAGCAGTTCTGCTCACTGACATTTTAGTTTTCCTTCAAGAAAAGGACCAGAAATACGTCTTTGCATCATTGGTAAGCTGACTTGGTATTCTCTTTGGTTTGTAACAAAAAGTGTTAAACATAGCAAAGGATGGGGGCAAACTTTATAATATTGTCTTCCCTCCATCAAAAGTAACTGACTCAAAACAAGTACACCCTCCCGTTTTCTGCTTTTCACCCCTTCCCTTCCCCTCCCCAAATTACCATTTATTTGTTCCCTCCCAATCCTTTTAAGACCTTGGACATGTGACAATTTGATCCAAAAAGACCTTAGCTATTGGCATTATTCTCGATTGGCAGACCCCATAAAGCTAGTTCACTTACATTCTAGCTGACCAGGGTCCGTGGTCAGACCAAAAGGACCAGTCTGACAGACAACACAACTGGAGCCAAATAGTCTTAGGTTAGGGCTGCGCTGGTGGAAATCTTTTTGGCTGGTAAAGCTGTCATTACTTGACCCAGTGCTTTCAAACCGCAGTAGCATCTTAGCTCAGATGGTAGTTGTCCACAAGGGTTAGATTCATACTTACATTTCTTTCCTCTCCCTGTTTTCCAGGACCAGAAGTCAACAGTGATCTCTTTAAAGAAGCTGATAGTCAGAGAAGTGGCACATGAGGAGAAAGGTTTATTCCTGATCAGTATGGGGATGAAAGATCCCGAGATGGTGGAAGTCCACGCCAGCTCCAAGGAGGAGCGTAACAGCTGGATTCACATCATCCAGGACACGATAAACACCCTGTGAGCGCCACTCCGGGCCATCCTCCTCAGCCCTCGCCCTGCCTCTCTGCGATTGCACAGTGGTCTTGGCCTTGACCAGAGTCAGTGACATCTTAACGGAGGTTGTGTTTTGTCTTGTTTTAGGAACAGAGATGAAGATGAAGGAATCCCTAGTGAGAATGAGGAAGAAAAGAAAATGTTGGACACCAAAGCTCGGGAGTTCAAAGGTAAAGCATAGGAAGTGGTCCCCAGACTGTCTGCAGCTGACCAACAGCGCTAGTGGTCTCCAGAGTTGCCTGCTGCTCCTCAGTCCCAGAGGTCCCAGCAGGACTGGGAAACATGGCACGAGTCCGAGCTGACACGGGTTCTCATAAAGAACAGCTAATGAAGAGGTCGTGCATGATGCTTTTGTCTTGGCATCTGCATTCTTGGGCCCTGGCAACATTGTTTTAACTGTATGCCACAGAAGCATTGGCCAAGATTTACAGCCATCTCTAAAATTAAAACAAGACCTAGGGAAAGGTATTTGAGGAAAGAATTCTCCAGTTGGTCCATTTTAGCCCCACCCCTGCCCCATGCATCACAAGTGAGTTTTGAGGTGTTTCTGTGTTAGAAGTGAGTTACTGATCATGTATAGCCACCATTTATTATTGTTGAGTGCCTGTTCTTTCTGTGGCCCTGTCACCATCCCTGCAAAACAAATCTTCCTGTCCCCATTGTACAGATGAGAAAACTGGGGATTATAAAGACCAAGCCCAGCGCGGCTTTCTGCCTAGTTAGTGGCAGAACCCGGACCCTTACTCTCCCTTCTCAGAAGTGTTCCGCTGCTGTCCCTGCTCTACTGTTTAGATGGAGAATGTTCTGGAGAGAGTATAGAGACCCTGCTTGGGGTAGAAATAAGGTCCAGAGTCACATGATTTTAAGCACCTAAAGAGTTTGCTTCAAGCTAGACAGTGATTTTGGTTGTCATTTCTAATTCTGTGGGATACAAAGGGCGGACAGATTTCGCCAAGAACAGCTACTTCATATTTATTTTTTTTTTAATTTCCTTCTTTCAACATTAGTGAGCACCTGACCAGGCATACTGCTAGTAGGAGGGATGCAAGGACCCCTAAGACAAGAGTCCCTCCCCTGGGGAAGCGCAGATAACAGTGTGTGGTGCTCACGGAGAATGTCACAGCAAAGCTGATGCATGAGCTACACTGGGAGCCGTGTGCACAGGTGGAAAAGGGCTTGACGTCACTGGCGAGGAATGACAGGTTCGGACTCAAGTGTTGGGTCCTAGTGATGGGAAATGAAGACAGGAAGGCCGCAGAGATTTTTACTCAGGAGAATGACAGGAGTGAATAAGAAAACGTTTACCCTATGTTGATGCAGTTTGGAAAACTCAGTTGAGGGGCTGGAAATGGGAAGAACTGGGAGACCCCTGGAGTAGGTTACAGGAGACATGGGCCTGGAGGGGCTGGGTGTGAGTGAGAACGGAGACCCCCAGCCTGATACACTGATACAGTTGGTAGAACAGGATGAGGAACGAAGTGTCTCCTAGGTGTCCAGCTTGGGTAACCTGAAGGAGAGAGAGATCCCAGACAAGGGAAGAGGTGGGACGGCAGGGCTGGAGGAGGGATTCTTTCTGACAAGCTAAGACGAGGGCCCCCTGTGGAGAAAGGTCAATCAGTGAACTCGGTGTTCCCAAACAACAGGCATGATGAGCTATGAGTTGTCAGCATATAGGACGTCATTGAGCCATGGGAGTGACTGAGATTCCCAAAAGGAAAACGTGGATAGTATTGAAGACAGTCCACGATGGAACCCGGGTCTTACGTTACAGAAGACAGATCCGCAGTGTACTGTGGAAGGAACGGTAGAAAGAGCACCAGTAATGTCCTCAGAACAAAGGAGGATGTTTCAAAGGAGGGAGTAATGGTCAGAGCTGGACAAGAGACAGTAAACACCTCTTTGTGATGAGGACGGAGGAGCGGAGGAGAAAAGCCAGAGAGCAGAGGCTTGAGAAATGGCAGGAGGTGAGGGACTGGTGGCGGAGTAGGTTATGCGTTGGGCTGCTAACTGCGAGGTCAGCAGTTCGAATCCACCAGCCGAGAAAGGTGAGGCTTTCTGCTGCTGTAAAGGTGTACAGCCTCGGAAACCCTACGCAGGGTTGCTGTGAGTCGGAACCGACTCTCGGTCACACCGCTGCCAACAGAGGGCGTGGGGCATCCCCTGGATGTGGATGATGGTGCAGACGGGTTAAACACTCAGCAGTTGGCTGAATGGTTGGCAGCTGGAGCCCACCCAGAGGCTCCTAGGAATAAAGACCTGGTGATCTGCTTCTGACAGATGGTCACTGAAAGCCCTGTGGAGGCCGGTCTACTCTAGCGCGCATGGGGTCACCATGAGTTGGAAATGTCTTGGTGGCAATTGGCTTGGTTGAAGGATGTGGACTGTGGTTCTCTCAAAAATTGTGGTGTTTTTCCTAGAAAGACCCAGGGTAGTTTTCCAAATAGAAATTACAGACAGAAATGTTATAATAATGCCTTGATGCTGTCTTTGTTTTCTGTTTTTTGTGTTTTGTTTTTTTTTAAAAGACACGGCTGTCTTGTTCCTTTCCATAAGTGACCACAAGGTGGCGATGGCATCTTAGTCACCTAGTAATACACTAAGCCAAAATCACCAAACCGTCTTCTCTGCATTCTCCCTGCAGAACAACTTCAACAGAAGGACCAACAGATCCTACAGTTACTGGAAGAGAAGGAGACGATTTTCCGGGACATGACAGAGTGCAGCACCCCATTGCCAGAGGATTGCTCCCCAACTCACAGCTCTAGAATCCTCTTCCGGTCCAACACAGAAGAGGCTCTCAAAGGCGGATCGTTAATGAGAAGCGCCATAAATGAGGGTAATTCCCATTCGGTGTTACCAGGGAGCATCTCTCCTTAAAGTGGTCTACACGCTAATATCACCTACCTCTGTTTACTGTTTTGTTGTAAAATTAAAACAAAACAACAACAAAAAAAAAAACCACATGCAGAAAGCCAGACAAAGCAAGTGAGTCACTTAGGAATTTTTCTCAGGTGCGCCTCCCTTGTAGCCAACGACCCAGATTAAGAAATCAGATGTGGCCAGCCACTCCCAAGAGCACCTCCAGGTGCCTGGTCCCCCTCATTGCTCCCTCTGTTCCTTCAAAAGGGACAGGCATTGGGACTTTTATAGAAGTCACCTGCTTGTGGATTTTTATGGTTTAATTAACTGACTGTTCGGAGACGCTGCAGTTTAGATTGCCTTACATGGCTTTTAGGGGTCTTGGCTTGTAGCGCCCCCCATGCCTTTCTTCACCATACAGTTTATCTTTGAGGAATCTGAGCTTTCTGACCAGTTAAGTCCCCACAGTCTGAGCTTTATTCACGCAGCAGGTCTACTGTCCTCAGTATACCCTTCAAACTGACAGCTGGACCCAGGGGCGATATCTTGTATAGGATTTAACTTGGAGGCTCTTCTTCCTGTTAATTATCACGTGAAGCAAGGTACTTACATCTGTAGGAGAAGGCTTGCTGCAGATGGCTTTTCTTCCTTTACCGGACCATCGTATCATTTCCGCATGTGGTGACTTATCTTGTGCGACTTCCTGACTCTTTCTCTCCCCTATTCCATCTGGACTTTCTTTTTCTGTCACCTCTGTTGCTCCTGGCCTGCTCAGTTTTGGTCCTTGCTTCTCTCAGTGGGGCCCCACCCTGGAAAAGAACCAAGCCTCTTCCTGTTTGAGACTTGAGATGCGAAGACAGCTGTGGCTCCTGGGACTCTCTCTATTGGAGGGACTAGAGAGCCTGCGCATTTTAATTGCTGTTTTCACACTGGGCTAACTTGGATACCTTTAGGTTATTCCAGAAGCCGTGCATCTTCCAATAAACCCCCTGCCTGTCCTGTATCACGAGGGGGCTTCAAAAAGTTGGTGAAAAAATTCCACTCTCTGTGGATCCCATTTTTCCATGAACTTTTGGAAGCCGCCTCATATTTCAAATGTTCTAGACCGACTGGAAGAGGGAAGCGAGTCTTGGTGCTGAGGGTTAAGCACTGGGCTGCTTACCTTAAGGTGGGAATCCTGAGCCATTACTTGTCCTGTGAGAGATGGACCAGGCTGTCTGCTCCCAGAATGCTTTGCGGTCCATCTCGGAACCCCTAAGGAGCACTTCTGCTCTGTCCTATAGGGTCTCCACGAGTCAGAGTTGACTCGAGGACAGTGGTGGCTTCGTGTAAGTAAACCAGTCTGACGGGTTCATCGCTAAATCCCTGAGCTTAGACCAGGGAAGCCAGCCAGTCAGTCTTGAAACTTGCGGCTCATGCTTCTGTGCACGTCATGGGTGACTATGAGACGGTTTCTCATGGAAGCAGGATGTGTCAGTTGGGCATGTTTCCTTTCTTCCAGTGGAGATCCTCCAGGGTTTGGTGAGCGGAAGCCTGGGGGGCACATTGGGGCCGGCCGTCAGCAGCCCTGTGGAACAAGAGGGCACAGTGGGCCCCGTTTCCCTGCCCCGGAGAGCGGAGACCTTCGGAGGGTTTGACAGCCATCAGATGAATGCTTCAAAAGGTAACTGATGAATCCCAGACTATCGCCCACAGCAAAAAGCTTGAGTTCTGGAGTAGCAGCTCCATTTCCTCTGTCCCGCTCCATCAGCAGATGTCAGCGTGAGGTCCAGATATGGATGTGTAACCCGCAGCCACGTTCAGTTTGAGTCATGAAGAGCTAAGCTGTGGCTAAAAGAACAGTAGTTTATCCTTCCTGCTGCTGATTCTTCTGCAGCAATGAAAGAATTAACCCCCGTTTATCTGCTACTAGGTGGTGTCCCCCTTTTTGGGCCTTCTCCTAAAATTGAGAACAGTGCACCTGTGCTATATATATAGCATGTGTTTCACAGTTTAACGCAATCCTGTGTTCACTTAGGTGAGGAGGAAGAGGGAGACGATGGCCAGGATCTTAGGAGAGCGGAATCGGACAGCGGTCTCAAGAAGGTACTCCTTCCCCAATGACGCTATACCACCTTCAAGGCTGTTCCACTGCCAACTTGTGTTGGCTACTACCACGTAACTTAGACACACGTTTGAATGTAGTCTTTACATTGTGATCTTCATTTTCTCTTTAATGTATGTTTTTTTGTTGTTGTTTTGTTTTTTAGGGTGGTAATGCTAATCTGGGCTTTTTGCTTAAAAGAAACAGTGAGGTAAGGACATGATGTGCTTTTTAAGGGGGGCTGTTTTTCTTACCATTGTCTGGTGAGGAATACCCATTTTTGTTTTGTAATTATAAACAAAATAACTGAGCTACAATAAATACAATTCTCCCATTTCTTTACCTTTCCTTTTTCCCTAGTCCCAGGGCCCCATCTTGGAATTTGGCCAGTTAAGGTGTGACATACCAGAATGACCTCTGATCCTTGTCCTGGAGAAACCTCTTACTTGAATCAAGTGCCTCTGAACATTAGACTAAGGCTTCGCCGGTGATTTCTTTCCGGCTCAGGCACACTACATAGACTTTGTAGCCACTCTTCCGATAACACAAGCCCAGTGCCAAATACTACAAGGCTGGGATAGGAGAAATGAACCTGCAGGCAGGACCACAGTGCCGTTTCTTAGGCTGTAGGGATTTTTACCATTTTCTTCTTTGAAAACTGCTTTCATGAAATCTGTGCTTCAACCTGGGTGTTCTCCTAACTGGGAGCCAGATTCAGATGACCCTCGTTTTCAGCCTCCTTGAGCTGAACCCCACTGGTCCATCAGGATAGCTACACTTTGCTCCCTGGTCCATTGTCTCCTTGATTCTTTCTAGCGGACTTGTCAGGACCACTAAACAAAAGGGGTGGCCCCGTGTGTGCAGAGGAGAGCTGGTGCATAGCATTTCCAAAGCTGTGGTCTTTCAGAAGTGGAGCACCAGGCCTGTCCTCTGACGAGGAGCCTCTGGGTGGGTTAGAACCACAGATGTTTCAGTTCCTAGGACTTCCTCTCCTCAGTTGTTGGCTGGTAGCGTGGGGCTCTGTGTGCACCGACTGGAATTAGATCAGGACCCTAATCAGACATCTCAGGGCGTGCTCTTCAAGGACACACAGTCTCTCACATCCCTGAGGAGATTTGTTTAAATATTTTTAATTACGGGAGCCTTTCTCTTTTCCCCCTAAAACACACAATTACTCTGTTTCATATTTGTTGCCGTGGAAGTCTAAATATTGTGACGCCTGGAGAATTCCTGTCATTGTTTTACCCGCCAACAAAATAACACCTGGCCTCGTACACGGTTTACTTTTCTAGCTGCTACTCGAAAATCTTCTGCTGTTAGATTTTGCCACTTGGCAACTTCTTCCTCTCTCCTCTTAGTGAGTGAGAAAAGTCCTGGTTAGGAATACCGCAAGGCCACTGCGCCAACACAACTGATACACTCGGCCTGTGTGGCTTCTCTCTCTCCGCCTATTAACAATACACTGAATGAGGGCCAAAAAGTCTCCTTAAAGGAACTTAGCTTAGTAAATGTTTGTGTTTTGCTTATAAAACTTCATGATAGAAAATGTGAAGAGTGTCTGAAATCTAAAAACAAGATAAACATATTCGCACCACTCAGGTAAGCACTGGTACACAAGTATATTTGGTGTGTATGTCTCCAGTTTTTTTTCCTGCACAGCCTACCGTTGTGTGTCTGAATCTGTGTGTGTATGAAGAGCGTACAGACACCTCACACATTTTATATCAGTACTGCATGAAGCTTTCGTAGCCTGCTTTTTTCTCCTAAAACACACTGTAAGCATTTTGCTAGGACTTGAGTTTACAAATCATGTTGGTTAAAAGCTCTAGATTGTTGTTGTTGTTGTGAAGTGCCATCGAGTCGGTTCCGACCCATAGCAACCCTGTACAGGGTTTCCAAGGGTGTAAATCTTTACGGGAGTAGAAAGCCTCATCTTTCTCCCGTGGAGCGGCTGGTAGTTTCGAACAGCTGACCTTAAGGTTCGCAGCCCAATTCGTAACCACTACGCTACCAGAGCTCTAGATTAGTATGTAGCTAATTTTTCCAGTAATTATTATTTTTTTCTCCTTTTTGATTTTTAAATAATGCTACCAGGAGCACTCTTGTGTGTACATTTTTTTGCAAGCTCTTTGATGATGTCCTCACCATGCCACATGACTCTCTAGAAAGGAGGTTGTTGTTGTGAAGGGCCATTGAGTCGATTTTGTCCCATAGCAACTCTGTATGGGGTTTCCAATGAGCAGCTGGTGAGCTTGAACTGCCAATCTTGAATTTGAAACGGCTTTTGCAGTCTGGCGCATTAGCCCACAGTGCTTATTACACCTGTCGGGCACCAGAGTGTCCATGTTCATCTCACAGTCCCTAACTCTGGATCTTGCCTCTTTAACGAACATTCTCTGGGTTGAATTTTTGCTCCACATGGATTGCTTTCTTGACTGCAGAGTTAGTCTCTAAAAAACGAGGGTGGACACAGCTGTCTGGTACGAGAACGCTTGATTTTCACTTTGCCTTCACCAACACTGAAGATTACCACTTTTTTTTTTGATGGTTGATATGATTCCCTACAAATGCTTTTTTTTTTTTTTTCATCTATTTGATTTAAATGAGAACAAATCATTTTTGGATTGGTCACATAATTGGCCTTCTGTAGCTCTTCTCAATCATCCCATGCGTATTGTTCTACTAGAACATAGAAGTTTTTTTCTTACGAAAGCCTTTTTTTTTTTTTTAAACTACAGATATTTTTCATTTGACTTTCTGTTCAAGTTTGGCCTTTGCCTTACAATTCAATTTTACATTTTCACATAGTAAACTATGAAAGAAAACAACTGTGGTTTTCTTGCATTGCTTAATGTGTTTGAAAAGCCTTTTTCCTTTCAAGATCAAAAAACATTTCTCTTATGTTTTCTTTTAGCTCTTTTCTATGGTTCATTTTTTATACTTAACATTTTAATCCATTTCGCTGTGTATGTATGTGTGTGTGTGTACGTGTAAACTAGTAGACTCTCAGCTTAATTTCTCCACAAAATTTAGCCAGGTTTCCAAACACCAATTTATTGACTATCCTGTCCATTCCAACTGATTGGAAATGCTACTTGTGTGACCTGTATAAACACTTGTGGTATATCTCTGGGTCTCTCGTATGATACGGCTAAGTTAGCAATCATTTGAAGTGAAGTTTTACGTTTTACACCTTTTTATGTGTGCTGTTGAAAGAATACAACCCTGTCGCACATCTTTCTTAATTTTAAACCATTCAGTGTTCCCATGTTCTGTTTGAACAACTGCCTCTTGGTGTCTAGGTACAGATTCCTCAGAAGTACAATTAAGTGTTCCGGAATACTCATACTTATCAATGTTGTCCATAGCTTGTCGTGATCCACACAATCGAAAG